CATATATATAAAACATATATATACATATAAATATATAAAATAAATTTACAATTAATTTTGTGGAAAATAAATGTGTAATTGATTTTGTGCTTATAATAATTAATATATGTATATGAATGTGTATCATTTTTAAAATTTTGAAAAGTTTAGGGTTTTTTTGGATAAAAAAAAGTATAGGGTTTAAATTGTGATGAAAAAAAAGTAAAGGGTTTTGTTTTGGATTATCCTTTAGGTATATGTTAAAATTTGCAAAGTTTAGTTTTTATTTGTGAATTTCAATATAGTTGAGTATTTAATTTGGAAGTGAGATAGTTAAGTATTTAATTTGGAAATTTGGTTAAAGTTGAGTATTTAATATGTGAATCTCCCGAATAATTATATACTAATTAATAATCTGTACGCATCGCACGGTCTGAAAATAATTATATATTTTTTTTAAAAATATTATTAATTTCATAGTTTTAAATATATTTTGTTTTTTAATTTTTAATTTATATTTTTAAATTGCAATGATTTTTTTTAACGTTAGAATATAATGGAATAATTTCTCTAAAAAGTATTATTAACAATTTGTGTATTTAAATTTTTGTAAGAAATAATATATAACCAAATGTTAGTATCTGAAATATCCGAATACTGTTTTGGAATCTCGATGAAAGAGTTATACTTTTAGAAAACTGAATTGTACAAGTCGATGAAAGAGTTACACTTTTAAAAAACCAGATTGTTATATAAAGTATGTGTCATTTCACAACAAACATTGATATAATACTAAACTATACAATCTTCACACTATAAATTTTATACATATTTTTTTAATTTAATCCTTTAACATTTAACTTCGGTTTATTCCTAAATTTTTTTAAGGTCGGCCGCATGTATTCTTCATATTGTTCATTACGTCTTGAAGCTTGTGAATTCATTACATGCAAGATTTGATATTTTTTTTGTTCTTTTGTTGGCTGCAATCTATCGCAAAAGTTCTCATCTTTTATCCGAATTTGGGACCGGATAGACAAGAACAAACTCGTGCATAAGGGGAGTTTTTATTTAATTTAATCAAATTAAGAAAATACAATACTAATCTTGTGGTTTTCATTTGTCTCATTATAGTTTAAGTCATTGTATTATTTTTTGACAACTTAAGATTTGATCATTTTTCTTCTAAAAATAAATATTAAGTTTATTTGTTAAATGTGTTGTTGGGCCTTAAGGCCCATTGATGAAGAAAAGAGAACCTTCCCTTTGGGAAGGAGGTTTCGGGTTTTAACCCGAAACGCAACGTTTCTCGATAAGGGTTAATGAAACCCTAAACGGGTTCGCGACTTCGACGCTAGGTGCCAGATCAACCGGAATACCTAGAAAACTTATATTACAAGTCGGTTGCATTTCGTACAAATATTAGAGCTTACAACTCAATTCTTGCCTCAATCGGTGCGAAAATCGACCATTCAGTAACATCAGGGAATGACCCATACACTTTTAGAATACATGGACAAAATCATCATCAAATAGGATCTCTATTACCAGTGGAAGGAGAAGCACCCAAGTTTGCTCAGCTTTACATATATATATGATACTGGAAACGAGGTTCGCAACCGTATAAATACACTCAGTCGAATAACATGCGTTGGAAATTTAGAAGAAGAAATTGTTGGGGGCCTCATCCAGATGATGAACAAGTATAATTATCTCGAAAGGTCTTTAGAAAAGCAAGAGATCGGTATGATTCGGGGGGGGGGGGGTATAGCTATAATACCCTCCCAATGCTACCATCACTTCTACCTATACCCTCTAAACAAAAAATCAAAAAAAAGTATCAATCATGACAAAAAAGACCATAAAACCTCATAAAATACGGTAAAGACAAAAACACCCCTTCTTTCTGAATTAAAAATATTCAAAATTAAAAAAAAAAGTAAAGTTAAAAAACAATAATGGTTTTCTCTCTCCTAACCCTCTGTTCATCTTCTTCCTTCTACCAAATCGTGATCTTCTCTCTCTCTCTCAAAACTCTCATTCTACCATCGATTAGTGACATAAATCCTTATTTCTCTTTAGAAATTATTTCTCTTCAAATCTCCAGCGAAATTAGAGAGTTGAAGAAGATATGGCGTCGAGAGCGA